TATATATATGATATTCCGTGTGCCTGTGTGCGTGCGCCTGTTTGCTCAAATCCTACTTTAGTATTTATAGTATTCCTACGTACGATGAGGTAAATCTTTATTCTACGTTAATTCGTCCCCCCCCCCCAATCAGGTGCTGAACGTGTACGTTTGTTCTCAGCTGTGCTATGCTCACGATTCGATCTGCGAGTTCAGGCCAGGAGAGAACGTTCTGCAACAACGTAACACAAGATACCAGTATAGACGTGATTGGTGACAACGTCGAAGTGACTTACCACGTGAGCGGAAACGCTCCTAGAATAGGACGTGTCTATACACAATATCACGTCGTAGGTATAAACATTTAAACATCTGTGATATTTCTGCGAGGAGATTTCGTCTTCGTACCGCTATTGCGATGTTCCAAACCTCCTGTCCTAATACCATTTCGTGGTTATGTTTTAAACCTGCGCATTTTGTAAGAGAAATCCATCGCAGATAAACGTCCAACTGCGCTGCTAGAAGTTTCCTAAACGTGGTGTGAACTGCGAATATGTCTTCGTCTCTAATACGAGTTAAACGCAAAATATGTAGTGCATTTACTTTCGATTTATTGACCAGATGTAGCAACTGTACGTATACATTTATTAGCGATGTTTTCTTTACGTAGAGCTGCATAGTGAAAGGGGAGAGACTGGAGAGACGGGGTACATCTCATCGCCTGCCTTCCCGAACGACACGGCCAACCGAAATTACGCGACGTACATTTTCACTAACCGGCAACCGGACAGCTCTGTGCGGCTGATATTTGACGATTTTGACGTCGCTCCCGACACCCACATTATCGTACGTGTTTGCTCTCTCAATCACGCACGCACGCACGCACGCACGCACGCACGCACGCTCGGTTGGCCGTCGAGTGGATAATTAATTCGTTTAAATCCGATAGTGATACGTTTTACCTAATTCTGACTTGGGCAAACAACTGCAAACGTACGTACGGACACGACAGGTAATTAGCTGTGATCACTATATACTATCAGGAGTGAATAATAATTAATAGATTATCTATCATTATTATTATTATTCATAATCTATTCATAATCTATCATTCACAATTCATAATGCATAATTTAATATTTAATATTCATATTCATATTCATATTTTTAATTCATAATCTATTCATAATCTAATTTTATTTACGCCTGATGCTATATGCACCCACGCACATATCTGATGATCTGATCTATGTTGGCAGGGGCGGATTAAGGCTCACTGGTGCCCTAAGCACTGACCAATCTTGCTGCCCCCCTCCTTTCCACACTGACCCAGTCTATTTTAGTTGTTGACCTGTCTGACCAGATATACAATGCAGGTTGCAGCAGTACAAAAATTTATGTAGGATTTCAAGGAGGGTGGTGATAAACAGGCGGGGGGTATGGAAGTCCTCCCCCAGAAATTTTTTAAATGTAGATAGCCGGAGATGGTATTTGAGGCACTTTTGAGCGTACATGCATGTACACCTTCATTCTGACTACGAGTCAATCTATTTGTTTTTTTTACACGTTTCAGTTGTGAGAAAGACCTCTCTGTTGTGCAGTTGGTGACCATTAATGTTAAAAATATTCTTAAGGCAATTTCAACATTTTGAAAGGCACTCTCTAGTTTGTCTTCTGTAATTGTGTTGTAAAGTTCCATGTGAGTGAAAGATGTTTTCTTAGTTGTTTTAAACTTATGAAGAACGTATGAATGGAACCGCTGAAGCTCTGTAGACAAAGTGTTGTTTATGTCATCTGGATAAGCATCAATGAGTGTCTGACAAGTCTTTGAGTACCTTTCACTTTCTGATAATTGGGAATTAGCACCTTGTTGGGTGGCATTAGGGGCCCCTTGTATTCTACTGTATTGTTGGGGGCCCCTTGTGGTACACCTAGGAAGTACACATCTTTATTCGTTTTTTTTTCTTTTCACCCTTTTCCAAACTTTGTGGTGCCCCCTTTGGCCCTGGTGCCCTAAGCACGTGCTTAGT